AAGTCATACTTTGGTTAATAGGGTGTCTCCAATGCATATATAGATGTTTGCATCTTGCAGGCAGGAAGAGTGTGAGATGATGCACCGCAGGGGCGGGACAATGAGCTCTCCTGCGGAGACAACGTTGGTCGGGTCTTCCTGCTGCCAGCTGGAGGCTGCTGGCTGGTGTGTGTATTCACCGCAGGAGCAAATCAATCCAGAGTCGTAGTCGTGTCTCTGCCGGGAAAACAACAAGCTTAGCACAGACCTTAACAGCCTGCTCAGCTCCATCTAAGGAGGACAGAGATGAAAGACTTCCTTTTAAATGCTTTTCAAACAGTACTTAAAGTGGACCTATTAAGCATTCATTCCAACTCCATATTATTATTTTCTAAGACTATTTTTCAATGATTTACAGTTCAGAAAAACTCTGCTGCCCTACAATTCATCCTGTCTAAGAAGAGCTGCTTCAGAGTGAATTAATGACTGTTGTAAGGGGAAATAAACAAGCAAGACTTTACTGATGCTGGGCCTTCAATGAAATTCTGTGATTTTTGTTTTGTTTTTTTGTTAATAGTAAACAAACAAACAAACATGGGATGTGGGGTATGAATATTTTTCAGCTTCCAAGGTGGGACATGCTGTTATAAGCCAGCTCTCTTCTAATTGGCTACCACACACAAACAAAAGGTCTGAACAGCAAGTAGGTGGAGCTTCAGAGCTTTGCGCTTCAGATTACCATATAAGGGCTATCCTCTCTCTCTGACATCATACAGAGCCAAGAGTAGAGAAAGCCATCTGAAGCTGGAGCTTTTGATTCAATAGGATTATGTCTCCATGCGCAGACCTCGTTATTTGAAATTTTGGCTCTGTTTAATGTGAGCTTCCACCTTTACAACAATGCATGTATAACAGAAAATAATAGAGCAAGAAGGTCCTCTATTCAAAAGCCTTCCGAGTCCTGGGTGCGTGCACGTTCGTCCTCTGTTTAGTCACTGAGATAATCTGTGATGCTAAACTTACCACAGATGTCAGGTAAAGTGTTTACAGTGCATAGACTAGAGCACCATCCAAATGCATTTATCTATGATTGCATGAGCAAATGTGTTTTATAGTGCTTTGATTGGTTAGTAAGAAAAGAAAAGTGCCATTCAATTTCCTTTTAAAGGAAATCCCATCCATTTATACATGGTTAGGCTCAAATCACAGTAGAACACCTAAATTGTATAAGAAGATAATTTCATGAGTTGAAATTGTTCATTTAAAATGCACTCGTGCACACACACACACACACACACACACACACACACATACACCAGTAACACTATGCCTCACAGACTTGGATCTCCACATGATGCCTTAATGGTATCTTTAAAACACACACTAATGCAGTTGCCAGCAGGCATGAGTCAGATATCTGCAGCAGTAGTATTTGATGGATGTCTCCAGTGTTCTCCAATCTTTCTGTAGCTTCTCATCAGTATTAAATATACTACCAGTAAAATGACTGCAGCGCAATGATAAATCAAAATGACTTTGTCCCTCATTAGAAGTCAGGGTTTCAGGGTGTGGCTCTCAGATTGTTTCACTATAGCCCTGAGCGTCATAATTGATACTTAGCTGGGAGGTGTGTCAGTAATTGTTTTGGTACCTAAAAGCAGGTTATTCCTCATTTCACAGTATTCACACAGCTCTATGTGAGAGAAGCTGCGAAGCCTTCCAAAACAGAAAAGGTCTATTCCTTCCCTCCCTTAAGTGGACAGATTTTCAGAGAGTTGCAGGAAAAATAATGAAGTCATTTTAGAAACGGAAAAAAAGCTGGAAAGTTCTGTGTGTGCGTTATTTCATGCAATCCACCAGCACCATCTGTGAAATGTGTTTAAACCACAGCTTTATATATTGAACCTCAGCAAAAATTGACTGCTGAGATCTAAACGATATGTTGCATAACCGGGATAATCTATAGAAAAGGGCTGGGGCAGAAGAAGGCTGTCGTGTTTTGTATCCCTGTTATCAAAAAGGAGAGACTGTCCTGTTACAGCCAGCTCAGCCGCCACATATCCTGCCAGCGTGTAAGAGCCACTTCGAGGTTTGTGGGTCAAAGCCCAGTTTGCAGCCATTCTCTTTATGAATCCTGACACAGTGGTTTTAAGTGGATTTGACTTCACATCGTGAGGGGACACATTAGGGACAAGGCTTCCACTGAATGGAGGTTTCCACTCATAAGCGTACACATGTTCGTGCATACCATACATTCTCATGAGCCAGACCTATTCAGTGTCATAACACGAGTCACATCATCCTGCATTTATGCAAAGATGTAGGATAGGAAATGTCAGTATCAGCTGGAGCTTTAAGTATCTTGCTGTGAGAGGTATTTCAGTATTGAGTGATTAGTGGGTTTGTTATGAGGGTTTTTTTAAAGGCTCAAAATTGCTTTTTGGTCAGAAGATCGCATACACTCACAGTGGGCGTGAATATGATGGTGAGTTTGGAGTTTTTATTTGAACTGTTCTTTAACGAGTTTAAAAAACGAAAAAATTGACAAGTTTGAATTTATTTTGGTTTTTCTGTAATTGGCACATTGTCCAAAGTATACATACATGCTCAAATACATGTCTACACCCCCATTAATATTTGATGAAATCTCCATTACCAAGTTACACCTCAAACAGATGCTTTTGGTTGCCATCAACGAGGTTCTGGGATAGTTCTGGCTGGATATTTGAACGCTCTTCTTGGCAAAATAACGAGTTCATTTAGTCAGTTAGTTGGTTTTCTGGCACTCACCTGAAACTTTTAAGCATAGTCCATAAATTTCCGGATTAAAATTTAGGGCTGAGGTTGGGTATTTGAGAAGGTCATTCCAGAAGTTTCATGTTATCCTGCTTTATCCATTCCAAAACAGGTTTTGGAATGTGTTGACATCATTCTCTGTGGACAGTGACGCTGGTGTCCCAGCAGTTTCCAGCTCATGGCATGCTTGATCTTTGCTAGTTCTTGCATTGTTCCCTACATCGTAACCAACTTTCTCTCATCTCAGGGTAATAGTTTGGTCTTCTTTCAGACCTTGGCAAAGTAGTGACGCATCCAAATAACTTGTACTGACATGCAAATGTTTGAACTTATGATCTTGGAATCTGCAGTATTTTAGAAATAGCTCCAGCAGACCTTCCCAGCTTCTGTAAATCTACAGTTCCTTGTCTTAGATCTTTACTGAGTTGCTTGGACTTTCTCATTGTAGAAAGTCAGAGTCAATACATTATAGAACCTTCAACACCACTTATTAAAAGATTTAAGTGATTGTATGTATGCATTTGAATCTGCATGTATACCTTTGACCCTATGTGAACAAGAGGGAACAAAAAATAAATTCAAACTTGTGCATCCAGTTCTTGTTTTTTTAAAGTTATTAAAGGTGTATGCTGGACACACAATAGAAATAATAGTTCAAAGAAATTCACATTCATCCCCATGATTTGTATATGTGAACTTCTGCTGACAACTGTAGTTAATAAAGTTTTTTTTTCCACATTTTGATTTTGTAGCGATTTACTAGTCGATGGGTGAATCCTCGCAATGATGTCTAGACAAAGCAACAACTGAAATAATCTGTTTCAAAGGTTATTTGGATAAAAAGCGCAGAGTAGGAAGACAATGACATCAAACTAAACTTGACGAGAGTTGGGAAGGTCATGTTCAAATAAAATATGTCCTTCACATGATTAATGCCTCTCAGCATTACTGTCCTGTATCTTTGTCCCACATTTAGTCTGCTGGGATGTGGACACTCTGCTCACATGCCATAATTTCCTTGTCTGCTTTAAAACCCTGATAAGAGATCAGTGTGTACCAAAAACACACAAGGAAGCTTAGATCTTTTAATATAATTCAGTTGTCTTTGGAGTCACTGAGAGAAGAGTGCTGAACAACCTGAGCTCAACATAAGTGATAAAATGTCAGGTATCAGGTAGGAAAATATTTTCTACCTACTGCAGTTAATATAAACATATAGGCTGCTGAGACCCAGAAGAACAAAAAAATAAATAAATAATTATATTTCCTGTTTTCTGTTTGATGTAATCAGAGGATCACTGATCACCCATTTGGTGGTTGTGGGCAGGGTTGTCCTATTTCCATGTTTCATGCACAAAACCACAATTTCAACACGATTTCAGTAAGGTTGAAATTGAATTGATAAAAACAGGATGTGTATAGCTTAATGCACTTTTAAGCATATACATACATATCATGAGTTCCATTAATTGACAGGATAAAACAGGAAATCAAACTCTTAGCTTTCATGTGTGGGATTGGTTGTGAATTAAATTGAAAACATTCTTATTTGTGATGGCTAAAAATGTCAGATGTAATGTAATTGCTGGGTCTTAGGGGGACATAATGATTCACCTCAGTGCACGGAGAAGACGCATATCCTCCTGGGAACCTAGAGAAAGGAATCTTTACATTGAACTTATTTTGTGATTTCCTTCCTCTTTGGCGCTGAAAGAGGCCACCCAAACACATGAGATATCAATGAAAAGTCCTGTATTTACTACATCAGGACTTAGTAAGGTGGCTCAAATAATTCAAAAGACATAGACCAAAAACAAATGTCCATTACAGAGGACAAAAATGCATAGGTCGGTTCTCAGGAGGATTTTGTATGCACAAAACATTACACTTCTGCGTAGTTGGAGCCATCTATATTTATTATAAGTATTAACTGGTTTGTCTTTTTAGTATTCTTGCTATTACATTTTCTTGTGTTTTGCAAGCTACATTCCCCATTTCCCATAGTACTAATCTAGCCATGAAATCCATCAAATCGTTCACAATTACTAATATCCTACTTTATTTTTGTGTCAGTCATGTATCAAAGTTTTTAATCTGATAACTCACTACACAGCTCTTACTTTCTTTTTTCAGCTACAGATGACTTGTGCATACCAAGCATGCTACGTTAACTCCCCAGTTTTTTTTAATGAAATTTGGTGTGGCGCTGGCTCAGCGGCTCAGCACGCAGCAGGACCGGGGAGGGTCACGGGCTGTGTGACACGCCCTGCTCACTTAGAGGCTCATATTGGTGTAGCGGTCTGTCTCTCTGCTCTAGTCTGCAGATAGACAAGCAGGCAGTCTGTCGACTTTATAGAACCGGGCTTTTCTTACCCTGGAGGTATCCTGACGAGCCAGAGCCAGGGGCGGCCGGTGGGAGGAGGCAAAGAGACGGCAGCTGCTGCGCCGCACAGCCTCTTTGACAGCTTCAAGAGGAAGCATCCACCAGCACCGACCGATGTCTACGGTAGGGAGCGATTTTCTTCTTCCTTTCACTCATAAGCGACCGCCTTTTCACGGTGAGTGGTTGATAATGATTTAGGGACGCGGTGGTGTGTCGTGGCACGCCGCTGGCCGAGCATCTTATACCCGTTTTGTCGGATGTGGGGTCGGGACTGAGCATCAGCACGCCGGGGCAGAAAACGCTCAGAGGGTCCGTGTGAACAGCCAGCTGCTACATTTCGCTGTGTTTTCGCTTTTTGACCGTGATGTGTTTGAGTGTAGAGGTCGGGGTTGTGTAGGGAAAGAGAGAGCACACTGTTAGCACGAAGCTGTAGCCGCCTCCGAACGTCAGGGCGGCGGGTAGCGGGGCAGAGGGAGCCGCAGTCGGCGTGGAGCATCTGCGGAAAGCCGGCAGCCGATAGTGCCAATTAGACAGGAAGTGGGAATGCTGGGTTTCATATTAAAACAATAAAAAAACAAAACTATGGCTTTATAGCTAACCACATGTAGGATCCTGTTAAATAATTTCATTTTAATTGTTTATTTGTTGCTTTCTGCACATTTTATGACATTGTACTGAAGATGATCAGATTTGGCGCAAATATACCATCTGTTACAGGTAAACACTTCTGCCTAAATCTGCCTATTAAGGTTAAAATATATAGTCAGACCACACCAGCTGATTAGAAACTGAAAAGTGATGGTTTGAAGTTTTGGCTTTGTACACTTTGAGTGGCTTCACACTGGCATAAATAGTTTAGATCGACTCTTGAGTTACACTGCTCATTTAAAATAAATAAATAAAATATATATATAAAAACATTTTGTTTTTAAAATATATACTGTTATTAGCTTCAAATCCCCAAATATATAGCTATGTGTACAGCAGAAAGGAAATTGGTGCCTGAGTTTCTTAGATTTATAGTGTACATATGATTTATTTGCTCTACTTTTTGCGCATTATTGGTCTAATTTTTATTTTTCTTTAGCTTTTTTGTAGTACCTCACAGTACTATCTGTCTATCTAATTAATTTGTGGTTACTTGGCTTCTTGATGCCAAGTAATGAATCCTGAACTAAAAAATATCCAATAGTCTGTTTCCAGCTTGTCAGATGTTAAGATCCTTGTTAAATAAAAACATTTATAGTTCTGGAGTGTTTGATCATCACCTTGGCATGCCTTTCAGTCCCTTTCTTTGTTTGCTTATTTAACTTTAGTTATTTGGGTTTTGGCTTTTAAATTATTATATTATTTGGACTAAAACTCAATTTTTAAAATGTTATTTTAGTTTGCAGAAGTGTGCTTAATGTTAATTTAATAATTTTAGGTTATTTTCAGTTTACTATAATAATCTTGGGATTCATTGATTGATTAAAAACAAATAATGTTGGTACCCTGCCATTTTTTTTTCCTGTTACTTACTTTTACTTTGAAATCTTACACCGGAAGTAAGTGCTTGTGGAGCTCGGTGTCTTGACGCAGTTGAAGTGGAGAGCGTTTGATTGATTTGAGATGATGTAAATTCCGTTAAATTGCTTTCTAACTGTGTGTGTGTGTGTGTGTGTGTGTGTGGATGGTAGCTTTGGGTACAGGTAAGAGACCCGGTGATTGTCACGTGTTTGTGTGGTGTGCCATGTGGAAACGACCCACTTCAGTCCCCTCCTGTCTGCTCAGGGGTCTGACTGGGATCACTCTCCACCATGCGTCAGTCGGTGGTGACCAGCTTGTGTTCAGGGCCTTGCTTTCTTTTATTATTATTATCACTTTCCGATTTTTCTGGAGCCACTTGAGCGCACATCAGAGCCCCGTGAAACTAAATAAACTGAGTACAGATTCCCTTACAGATGTGATTTTTCTGCTTTCAGGCTGGAGTACATGAAGTTTGTGAATTTAACTGTCATCGCCATAGAGAGTTAAAGGGACAGTTCACCCTGCAATAAACAAAAAGTATAATTATATAAAAGATATTTGACCATTTGTCCCCAAACCTTTATTGATATCAGCCTTCTCTTAACTATTATTACACTAAATGGCACTCAGTGTGTGGTATTTGAAAACCTCTCTAACAGCGTCTCTTTCCAGAACTCATCACCAAGTTCGTCAGAAAAAACAGCAAAGCTTGTTGTTGCAGTTTCAAGTAGGAACAATTTTCTTTTTTAATAAACTACACCCAGTAAATATGTCACCCTATAGCTATTGACTAGAGGCTCAGTCTGACCAAGGTAAACATTAGTTCAGCTGTTAAGTCAGCCAGATGCAAGTTTCTGCTGGTTGGTGGAAGAAAATAGTTCCTACCTGAAAGTGCTCACAACCAGTTTTTTTTGTTTGTTTGTTTGTTTGTTTTCTTGGTAACTGTATCAGGATTTCCAGTGAAACACATCGCTGCTGAATTTCTCCAGTGCATCTGTTTTTGCACTTTGAGCACTTCATGAAAAATCTAATGAAGAGGTGGGCCATCTTTAGCTGTAGTCATTCTGATTTTACGTTTTCCATTTACTCTTTTAAAGTTGGTTTTCAGCTTTTGTTGTGAATATAGTTTAGTTTCAGCAGGTTTCTAGAACAGTGGATTTGCTTGTTTTACTTTAGTTTTGATTAATTTCAGTGGTAGTTTGACAGCAAAGGTAGTTGACTTGCTTTAAACTTTCCCTTATTTCTTTAGATGTTACAACCTCACACTCAGACCAGTTGTACCACATATATTTGACTCTGCCACCATCTGAAAACAGACGCTCTCTGCAGGTATGCAGATGGTCAGTAGCTGCCCACAGGCTTCCCGTGTGCTAACACCTCTGAACCATAAATTCCCCATCGTGCGCTTGTTAAAGGAGCTTTATCTGTCCATCAGGCTGCTTACTGTGTGTGAGTCAGAGAAAGGCACATAAACAGCTAAAACGGTACTAAATCATGACATCTGCCTAGCTCTTTCTTTTAATACTTATTTTTATGTGACTCACTTGCCTCTCCCTCGCTGTTCAGTATCCACTCCCCACACAATACCAAGTCTTTCCATGACTGGTCAAACAAAAAGTTGAAGATGGGAGATAAAAAATCAGATATATCTGATATAAACACCCTCCTGTTTGTCCTCGTCGATCATATGCAAAGCAGATTATAATACTGATTTCATGCATTATGAGAAAACCAGTTAAAATCATTCATTTTTGGGTTGAGGGGGGCTGTCCCCTCTCTGAGTCTTGCATCTCCTCATGGGAGCGTGTTTTATTTCGTATCTTATCATAACTTTCTGGCGTAAAGGACGACATGAGAAGCTTCTTGCACTGATTTCTAAATTGGGATCACAAAATGAGTTCTAATTATCTTCAAGGGATGGCCTATATTTGGCTCTCAGATAAGTGTTAGCTGAGTGTGCACACCGTGTCCAGGAGTGTGTGTGCGTTTAGACAGTGTTTATGACTGCAGAAAGGTAAGGCCCGCTGCCTTCCTGCATTTGCAGTCCAGTTTGAAATCACATGTATGTTTTCTTTCAGCACATACTTTAAAATGATCTTGATGCATTTTGTAACACAAAAAATGAAAGTCCCTCATGTAGCTTCCGGATTGCTTCATGTGTTCTTGCAAACTTCTTTCTCAACAGCTGCTTTACACTTGCACTTCTTTTCTGCCCTCCTTTCTCAGGTATCTAATAAATCTTTAAATGCTCCGGAGATGTGCTTCTGCTCTTTCCAAAACACCTCCTCCGTGCATGTGCATACCACAGAGTAGTAGTATATGGCACACTAAGCCTACTTGCATGCTGGAAGATGATTCTTTTGCTTTCTCTGCAGTTTTAAGAGGGCTTTGATATAAAGTTGTGGTCTGAGGTGAGGGGATTGCGCTTCCTCTTTGGCAGATAAGCGGGTCCCGCACGGCCCTAAATCTCTTTATATTGTTAGTGTCGTCAGTCAGCCTGGTGAGAGAGAGCCATATTGAACATTTGATCCTGCTTAACCATTGTAACCTGCAACATATCATGCATTCACCTCTGGATATTGTGAAGTGTACCAGTTAAAGTGTGTAGGTTAATTTGTTCCAGGGGAACACTCAAGACCTTTAAGTGAAGGAAGGGGTGTTCTTTCACATGCAATCAGACTCGGACACTGATCTCACATCTAACTAGGAGATGAACTGTACAGAAAATGCTCAGTTTGGTTTTGTCACGGGTGCTGCATGGGTAAAGCATGCAGGAGGCAGCACAAAGGGAGATCGACCATTAGGGTTAGGGATAGTTAGCTGTACTCTTGGTCATCGCACAGACTTTGCTCTTTGGGAGCTGGAGGGCTAAAGGTTGCCTGGTTATGTATGAAAGTTCTTATGATTAATTTTCAGGGAAACGGAGCTGCATCAACTCAATTTCACTGCGCTTTCTTTAGAGGTCTTCTGAAAAGGGGAACACAGCCTCAGAGAGGTCAGTTAATTGGTCGCGGAGCCATAAATGTCCACACAGTGAAACCTTTTGTGCCAATCTATCACCTAGACTGTGAGACTCCTTGGGGTAAACAGGGAATCTAGCATTTGCTGGTGGCATTAAATAATACATTTTAAAAAAGAATTGTCACTTTGTGGCAGTTCATTCTAATTAGAACAAAAGGGACTGCCCTGAAATGAGTGTTTAAAAAGGCTAACAGGAAATAAAAGCTCATCCTGTTGGTGGGTGTGCCGTTTATCTCTGTCTATCTGCATTCATTCACATCCTCTGACCCATCTGACATCTTCATTTCATGGCAACAACAACAACAACAGCAGCAGCTTCATAAACACATAAGAGGCTTCATCTTTGTGATGATTTGAATATGTGGAAAACTACAGATTGCATGCCTTTGATTATTTGTGCCGCCTTTTCATCACAGTAGGGTTCAGAATCATGCTGTCATACCAGCTAAGCCAGTGCAAGAACTGGTGAGGAGCTAAAATGCTTTTGGCTATTAAATGATAAATGCTGCAAAGGAACACTAAAAGAAGCCAAAATCCACCCATCTCAAACTGTATCTCACAGGCCAGCAGCAGCCCTCGGCAATGTACTGCGC